CTCTGAAGCTAAAAGTCTTGAGAATACAGATGGTATTAGGAAATAATAATGCGTCATCCGTCGTGCTGTAAAAACCTGTCAGGACGTAGATAGTGAATCAGCTCAGTTTCTTTCTTTACCGGTCGGCCATCGGAGATGCGTGATCGCGAAGGTTCCATGACCTTAGAGAGCGCAAGTTGCATCAACATAGGAACGATTAAAGCGCCCGCATAAAAATGATATGTTAAGAAGATGAAAGATTCAAATAGTAGGTGTGTTCAACACAAAAAGGAACATTTCTAATATCCATTCATTTATTCGTTATGCACAAACCAAAGTGCAAAGGCGGACATAATGCCAGAAGCATTATCTCCCAGTCAACCTTGAGTTAGTTAGTACAGAGATTAGCTGGGTGCACAGAAAGAAATCAATAAAGGCAAACGCCTATATTTACAAACTATATTTGTTTTTTTTATAATTTTTTTTAATTATATAAATATGTTAAATACAGTACTAATATATACCCGAGTTAAAAATACTACATAATGCACGTGAGTTCTCTGTTTACAAAAACCCAATTCAGAACTGTTCACAATCCGAAAACGAGTTTCCATACAAATATGAGAGTCATTATCGATATAGTAGGGCTAAAAATTGCCAAGTATTATTGGGAGTACTCAATTTATTTTGAGCTTTAAGTCAGCCGATGGGATTCGAAAGAAAATTGAGCATTTCCAACAGGTTAATAGGTGGCGTATTCGGTAGGTTCTTGCGGACACTGGGAGGGCGATGGGATACGCTCAGCGGAAATTCGATCCGCCGTAAGCTTAGCGGACAGGCAGCGGCCGCGTGAAAAGGACGAACCGGTTGTAATCAACGTGGCCTCATGCGCTAACGGAGCAATTCAGCCTTATTGATATCGAGCTATTGTGTTGATGTGTTTATTTGCGGGATGTGTTATTATCGCGATGCCAAATTATAAAGATGCCGAACGCACTAACAGTTCGATGGCCCCGTGGCGCAGTTGCCAAAGTATTGGCTTCGTCCGGGGTCGTGGGTTCGATTCCCACACGGGACAACTGTTTGTGTGACCCACAGATAGTTGTCCATCTGGTTTGTCCACGTGAAATTTATGTGTTTATAACGACCTTAGTGAAATTTCTGTTTGTAAAACGTTCTTATAACACAGGATAATGTTATCCTAAAGTAAGGGCAATTCTTAAAAAAAAAAAAAGAAATGTCAATTTTTGGATGAAAGTTTATTTCGAACTTGCGCTTTCGAGTAATGCCTAGCCGACCAATTAAACGGTCGATAGCCTCGCAACGCGAAAAATATCCACTCGACATTTATCGACTTTATTTATAGCATTCTAGCAGCTATATGCAGAGACTGGCGCTAAAATTAAATTTTTCATAAACGTATAAGTTAGTTCTACTGCTATTTAGACGGATGGAACTTCCCTTTAACAGATTTCTTAAATAAGTTAGACAATGTTTCACCACGATCGGAAGTAAGCCCCGCATTCCGATGATTCTTTTTCCTTTTACGCCTAAGCCGTCGAGAGGTTAGTGACTGTTCTTTGTGGTTAAGGACGATTCAAAGTTATTGGTTTTTTATGGAGGAGGCAATATCAATCTGGCAAGTGATGGTAGATAATAACCGCCGCCCGTGGACAATTGCAATTCCAGGGCAGTTATAAAGGCGTTGTCGCTTTGAAGTAGGGGCTGGTTCGCCTTGAAGGTCACCAAGTCGTGTCGGTCCGGAAACAATGCTGACGATTACAGATTCCAAGTCGAAATGTATCTTTGTTTCTTTTTTATCATTGCGTGTAAATATCAATGTTTGAATGTTTGAAATCGAACCAGCGCGATTAGTATTAGTTGTCAACATGCCGATGATTTTTCTCATTTCGTGTGTGCAAAAAGTCACCTTTAACATTTCGGTAAAATATAGGCATAATTTGGTCTTGTCAGAGACAGTATGAGGGAGAGATTATGGAATGTATTAAGGCGTGCATACATAAAACTGAAACGTATAATCTTTCCTCAAGACAATTATAACATCGAAGCGACAAATTATTTAACCTTTTTATTAAAAATTGTTTTCAAGTTTTATCGTGATTTATTTGTATAATAAACTCCCGTTGATGACCTCGTGACGCGGTTGCCAAGGTATTGGCTTCGTCCGGGGTCGTGGGTATAATTGCCACACGAGACAACTATTTGTGTGACCCACAGATAATTGTTTCAAATCTGGGTGTTTGTCCACGTGAAATCAATCTGGCAAGTGATGGTAGATAATAACCGCCGCCCGTGGACAATTGCAATTCCAGGGCAGTTATAAAGGCGTTGTCGCTTTGAAGTAGGGGCTGGTTCGCCTTGAAGGTCACCAAGTCGTGTCGGTCCGGAAACAATGCTGACGATTACAGATTCCAAGTCGAAATGTATCTTTGTTTCTTTTTTATCATTGCGTGTAAATATCAATGTTTGAATGTTTGAAATCGAACCAGCGCGATTAGTATTAGTTGTCAACATGCCGATGATTTTTCTCATTTCGTGTGTGCAAAAAGTCACCTTTAACATTTCGGTAAAATATAGGCATAATTTGGTCTTGTCAGAGACAGTATGAGGGAGAGATTATGGAATGTATTAAGGCGTGCATACATAAAACTGAAACGTATAATCTTTCCTCAAGACAATTATAACATCGAAGCGACAAATTATTTAACCTTTTTATTAAAAATTGTTTTCAAGTTTTATCGTGATTTATTTGTATAATAAACTCCCGTTGATGACCTCGTGACGCGGTTGCCAAGGTATTGGCTTCGTCCGGGGTCGTGGGTATAATTGCCACACGAGACAACTATTTGTGTGACCCACAGATAATTGTTTCAAATCTGGGTGTTTGTCCACGTGAAATCCAATCTATGTATGTAATGTCCTTACACAGGATAATGTTATCCTACAGTGAGGAGATAATGTTTTCGAAGGGACGACTACAATGTGATCTTTCTAGAAAATACAAATACAAATTTTAAACTCCCGACGTTTCCAATAATTGATGGCAGTTATTATCACGGGACGGACTGCGTATTCGACCATCTAGGGTCCCTGTTCATCCGGACTAAAGTCAACTTGAGAATTATTCAGCGTCTTCAAGTCTTGAAGTGGTGGTGTGTTCTGGATTATTTTACTTTATGGATAACTGATTCGGCGGTAAAATGATGTGGTGCGTAAGTAATTTCGATAATGTTTTATATCTCAATTGACCTAATGTGCTGCCTATACTTAATAAACAAATCGGCCAGTAAAATATTTGTTCCGAAGTTTATTTACGTGTTGAAAGTGGAGTAATAGAGTTCCAACCTGAACTTTTAAAACTTTCCATTCTTAGTCTTTGTCGTCAGCGAATTCGAACTAACTTCGCCGCGGCTCTTTGTTCCAGCTCTAAAGTTTTGGCATTTGGAGCGACGAAGTTCAACAAACTTTTTATTCCATAACACCGCTCAATCATCGGCGAGGGATGCTGTTACGAAACCGCGTTCTTCCTTTTCATTTTGTAATCGCTACGTCGTAATTGCCTATACTCATGAAGCCAACCTTCTGTTGATTTTGTTCGAGTTTGATTTTGTGATTTACGTACGTTCGAGTAACGTAAATCTAGCGACTATTAACCTTGCAATATAAACAGTGTACCGATCGATTGTACTGGGTTTTACTAAAACCTTTTCGTATTGTTAAAGATCCAGATGGTACTTGATTGCAGTTTAATTAATGGTAACATAGCAATTAGTGGTAATCTATATCTTAACTCGAGGGGTACCGATCGATTTTGTTCGACGCGACCCTTGAGACTATTTGAAGCCGTGTTTAAACTTAGTCCAAGGAGAGTAAAGTTTCTCGGGACATGGCTGTTCTCTCGGGACATGGCTGTTTAAGAGGTACCTGTGCCGCTTGGCGGGGAGGGAGCCAACAGCGGTGTGCCACCACTGCGACGTATGTGCCGAGGAGACCGCCCAACACGTACCCAGCCTGGCGGGAGCAGCGCCGAGAGCTGACAGCTATCGTGGGGCACGATCTCTCGTTGCCTACCGTAGTTGGCGCTATGGTGGACAGCGAGAGGTCGTGAGGTGCCGTCCTTGCATTCTGCGAGGACATAATCACCCGGAAGGAGGCTGCGGAGAGGAAAAGGGAGGCAACTGCCACCCTGGAAATCCGCCAGCGGAGACCAGGGCGCAGGAGGCTATCCTAAGCGCGCAACCTTCCCCCTGATAGCAAGCACCGGGGCGGCAGATGCCCACATCAGCAGCAGTTAGTCCCAACTGCTGCTCCGAGGAGGGCTTGAGAGGGGTGCCGTGTTCATTGCACCGACACGGCACCATTTGGCTGGACCAGGTGTCCCAAAAAACCCGGGGAGAGGAGGCCACAGTCGCGCCTGGGTTCGCGGAAGATTGCATTTTCGTGTCCCCGTGTCCCCGGCAAAGCGACAGCGCAGGTGCAACGTGGGTTTTTAGTGGGTACCCCGTAACTCCCACATACCCCTGCTGCCTACCCACAAGGCGGCGGGGGATCCATAAAGGATTTTCCCACGTAAAAAAAAAGTGAGTAAAGTTTAGGTATTGTACAAAAATAATTAAAGAATCGGTTATGTAAAAAGTTTAACGATTAATGCTAAGACAAAAGTACAGTTTCAGTAACGACGAACGTATTCAATTCTTTAATAAATTTTTATTTTCTTTATTGATGGTCCAAAGGTCCAGGAATTATTAGATTATGTGTACGATTTTAATTTTTTTTTAATCAAAGACATTAATATTAATCAATAAAACTGCGAAATCATGATCACATTTCCAATGTTCTCGGAGCTCGTATAGATACAATACTATCAACGTCACGATAGGACGCATTTCACACAAACTAAAATGATACGGAGCCCTCGCTTTCGCGTGCGGTCCGCGCCCGACACTAGTTCCGTACCGCGCGCAATGAATGGGCGGACGGAGTCGTATTGCGCTGTACTATTGATTCGCGCGGACCGCGGGAGTAATCTTCGGCGGGCTCCACTTGTCTCCACGACAGAGCGGGCCACCCATCGGGCAGCGGGCGAGATCTAGTTCCCTGACCCCGCCATTCATACGGTAAAATTGTGTCGCGCGACGTAAATAGTGGCACGTGTATTGTCCGACGCGAGGCTGGGAGACGTCGAGGTGACGTAACACTGCGCGCATTCGTGGTTCGTTGCGAAAAGTTCGACTCGTACGGGTTTTTAGCGATGTGTTTGCGTTTGAGGCGAATCGTATAATATCGAATGTCAGCGGGGCACAATGATTCACACAAGACCCTTGTAATCAATTGTGGTAGCATAATTTTATTCGCATATATAATTAATTTTATTAACGGAATGTTAAATAGGACTTTTATACGGATGTATCTGCCTTAAATAAAATTTTAATTATAGATTCGACACGTTTTAAACCACTTGACGCACGGATCTATATTTATGAGAGATATATTATTATTCATCGATAAATATTTTCTGATTTTCTCGAGTTGACATTTATTTTATTTTTAATTTTAAAAATACCGACCTTTTACTAATCATTTAGTAATTCTATTATATAAGTAATGTATATTATTACAAAAGATCATCGGAGCATCTTCTTTCGTACAGGTTTCGAAGCTGAAAACACGATATTTTTTTAGTACAACCTGACTCAATATATAATTAGGAAACCATTCAACAATATCACTCAACGTTTTGTATACAGTTGGATTTATTGTAGGCGTTGATTTGATAAAAAAAGCTTACATTAAGGCGCATTTCATTAATTGCAAGTGGAAAATAGCGTGGTTTATTAGTTTATGACACACATATATATATGTGAATCACAAATAAATAGGTGTCTCGGTCCCAAACCTGTAAGCCACAAATTAGCATACGCGAGGTATGTCAATGAAAACGTCACTATAGCGTTCGTGGAGTTATAAACTTCGGAGTAAAATGATGAGTAGTCCGCAGTTCAACATAGATATTAGAAGGATGATTTAGAATTTTTTATTTAACATTAGAATTACGTTTGTCGCGCGATGTAATGGCGTCAAACGCCTCGTCCATAGTTATATGGTAAGTACGGACCGCGTATGTATACATACTTACAACACCAGAGATAATGCAGAGGTTGCACATCACTGGTAACTGAGTTAAATCTGGTTACCTCACTTACCATAATAGTATTAATACTTTTCACCCCACGCCGGTCTTCTGATGCAGTGGTACTTTCGGGTCGAGCTGACCTAAACAGCCGCTTTGTGAACTGTTTTTGTTGCTCTACCGAAGAGATAGTAAAGAAACTAATTGAAATACTTCGAACGATTCTAAACAAGCGATTGTTTAGGAGTTGCAAAGATAACTGGAATACAACGGCGGCTCGGGACGTACTTAACGCCTCATTACGATTAGCCTTACCAAATATCGCGATAATTTCCACGAAACGGGTTTTATTTGACAATATGCCGTACTCTTGTAAATAGTAGTAAAACAATACGACTGGAGGCGAAATCGAAATTGATATTCTAGTACGGAACTTTTCACTGTCGATTTCGTTGGGCGTCGAGCGAATAAATCACGGGCCGAGACGGCTCGAGTGCGGCCCACGGATTCGGCTGCGCGGGGGTGGGAAGTGGTGAAGGGGGGGCATGCGGGGGAAGGGGCGGTGTAGGGGGCGCGGGGTGGGTCGGGCACAAAAAACGCGGCACGTACCTGCGCAGCCGTTGACCCCGATTAGCGACGCCGCGGCGATGCAACACCACTAATCCGACGCCGCCTTTTTGTGCCGGGCCGAGCCCTCTGGAAGACGCAAATTAATTTCGGGCGTCCCCCGCGGCTCCTCGTTACACGAAACTACGCTGTGGGAGCGCTCCCCGCTCGGGACCTCGAGAAAGGCCGCGACGGATCCGGTAAATCGCGGCGCGGCTGCAGATAACTGAAATGTGTACGCAGGCAAGCACTTTCATACTTTTCCTTTGCGCGGGACATGCATGCTGTGAACGCTGCTAAGTCGTTCGAAACGTTAATTTCACATGAAAGGAAGCGCAATGAAGCACGTGTTATATTTGTGTTTAGACATGTACTCGTATAACGAGTATTCGCTTTGATAAAGCACAGTTAATACGCGTTTCTTTAGAGCGGCAGGAAATTGATAATACATTGGTCAGCCCCGATTTAAAACGATCACACGACACTAAGAACGATTCCAGAGTTTATGCGTAGTACATATTACGATGGCTCTGCGGCGCAGTTGCCAAGGTATCGGCTTCGGCGCTGATCGCTATAAATTAATAGAAAATATTTATGAACGGGTGACCAAGCGTTAAAGACTACTACACACATACATATCGGCCTATTGGACATTATAGTATTGATATTTAAACCAAGCAAAGGAATTTACATTTCTTGCGTTCTTTAACTTACAAGGTTTTCCTTTACTGAATGCATTGCCTTAAGTGAAACTGCTTACTAATCAAATGCAACGTCTTACCTCGAGCGAGCTCCTTTTAAGCCTCAACAAACTTGTCCATTCATACCTGCAACAGAAAGGGACGGTATTAATTACGCTGGAGGAGATCTAGAAAATTCTCGAATACATCGGTTTCACTTAATTAGGCGAGCAGAGGAAGTGGGGGGTCGTCTAAAGGCCGCTCGTCGCAAGATACCATTATAGCTTTATGAACCCCTAGTCTTCGTGTTTGTGCATTGAATGCCTTCTTACAAACGTTTTCTACACTTTATCAAGAAAGGAATGTACACTTTCGTTACTGTCCTATAGAAATTCTCTTTAAGGGCAGGTTATTTTTCAAAGATTTCTTGGTTAATATCAATTGCACTCCATCTCCTGACTGATTTTTCCTTAATCCGTAATGTGACAAAATTACAGTATGCTCATAGTTAGTTAGTATCTTGAGTTAAGGTGTCAATAAAATATAATAATCCTAATAATTTTGTTTATCTAAGAAATATTAAAGAGAATTAGTATTAGTTACTTTAATATTTCTTAAATACCGAATGGTAATATTGGTATATTGTGTAAATATTATTAGGTATCTTATTTTGAAGAAGAACATTTTATAATCTATTTAGCTGCCTTTCTTTTTTTTAAAAATTCGATAGATGTCAACTAATCAGCTGTCAAATGGCTTTTCACATTTCATTTTAGTTGCCAAAAGGATGGTTACACTCTCTGAATTGACTAGAATGATCTTTTTTATGATCAGAATGATCAATTCAAAGAGTTTAACCATCCTTTTGGCAACTCAAATGACATTTGAAAAGCCATTTGACAGCTGATTAGTTGACATCTACGATGATCAGTGTTTCAGAAACCGGGCGTATATGTTGGACTCATTAAATTTGATACGGAATTTGGTTAGGAAAAATTAAGTTATGGCGTTCAGGCCAAAAAACACATTTGAGAAATATTATATACCTACAGCTACTCCAAAATACGCCCTCTACAAGGAACCCCGCCGTGGAGGTAGAGACTACACTGTATTGATTTCAGTATTTCTCATAGTAAGAGTAATTTTAAAAATACAAAACTAGGCCCCCAATAAACGACGGCGTACCGAGTAGCGACCGGTCCGCGCCGCGGGCGTGAATTGGTACGGGCGATTTAACGCCAATTATTTGATTCGGTACGCCGCAGCGTTCAGTACGCGTCCGATTTTCCGATAGAGTGTGAATTATTTTAAACCGTGGTAAAGGCACGTGATAGATTCTGCTATTGCGTCAAAACATGGATAAATGCAAATGTCCAAGGGCGGCGTTATCACTTAACATCAGGTGAACTTGCCACCTTCTCACATTAAAACACATTCACGCACACGCGATATAAGAAGTGTGCGTATGTGTTTATGAAAATCTACCTCAACCCATGCCGTTATAATACCCTATCTTGCAAGAACAATCCGTACATAATCGTAGTGCATGTCGGCAATCAGGAAATGTTTCTTTCTATACGTATAACGGAATAGCGACATCATTTTTTTCATTAAGAATGACATTAACTGTTTTTGTAGTATTACTAGATGAGATTTATTTGCGGTTTATTTGAGAGGCGGTTCTCAGTTCGACTGTATTTTTTTAAACATTTGTTACCTCATAACTTTCGATTGGGAGGACCGATTTTGATGATCTTTATTTATGTGAAAGCTGGTGCTTCCCACTTGGTCCCATATTAATTTCATTGGTATTGGATCTTGGCCTCCGGAGATATTTAGATAACTCCTAAAATTCAATTATAAAATGAATACGGAGCGAGATTTGAAGACGGCTTTGTTTTCCGTTATGAAAAGAACTTGTTACGAATTCACGTTAAGTATTCGCGTGAACATTAGAAATTTCCATGTCCATAGAGCAGTCTTAACGACTTGTCTGAAACAACTGACCGAACCAAACGACCATAAAACTCGCTCATTTAACGATAAATCGAACGTCAAAGCGAAATAACGAATTGCAATTGATGCATGTTATTCCGAGAGACCCGAACATGTCGACGCACGAAACGAGAACTGAAAAAATAAAAACGGGCCCTCAAAGCTATCAAAGCTTTTATATTGTTTCCTGCCACGTCCAATGTCCGGTTTTAACGAATTGGTAAACTAACACGTCGCATTCATTTCCTAGAAGGTGACCACGCGTTAGTTATTGACAGGATATACTTTAGACAATTGTGTTTTTTAGCGTAAAAATTAAATTAAGTTATTGCAATGTATATACTCTTTTCATCATGACCTTTGTTATCATGGTTACGGCGTAATGACGAAATTATTCGGTCAGTCAATCGATCCTAATGTGCATGCAAAATTCTAAAGCACTGTGAAGAAGCCTACGGTTTATTTAATATGGATGTTAAATAAACTTAATTTAATTATCTACTGGCGATGATATGACCGCTTCGAATAAGAGTACAAACCGATATTCATCCACAATATCGCGGACTAAAATGGTTATGACAATTCTCACTTGTAATTTCCGGACATTATCCGTGAATTTTAGGGCACGTGGTGACCCTCACGACCGGCCGGCTGGGTCGCAACAAGTTCATCACGTCCCTTCGCCGATTCGGTGACGTGACTAACCACTCCGGAACCAATAGCTATTATTATAAATGTTAGTTTTGTTGTAAATGTCGTGCATAAACGCTTCCATTAAACTATCTTTGCCTAGCTGCTAGAGAAAGATAATAAGATATAAAAAAAAGAAAAAGCAGCCGAAGTAAGCTATATAATTTTTTTACATAACCCATTTCTTGTTAAAGCAATTTATGAGTGTGGTTGGAGATTTAAAAGAAATGTAAATAATGAATTAAATAACACGTAGTATAATTATTAACATCGCGATATTAATAAAGGAACGCAAAAGGTATGTAACCAGTATTAAATCAAATGACGTTATAAAAAGTAATATTGCACGGAATCAAGAAATACCAGTTGTTGTTATTCCCTCAACATCGATGCCCTACCAGTAGTGGACCCATAAACGATGAATCGTTGACACCGGAGGAAAAAAAATCAATTCGTACCCAACGAGGCGGTAAGAAGCTTGACGCAAACAACTTTTTCGATGACAGGCAATGTAATAGATACCATGATACAACATTTTAGCCTCTAATGTAATTTTTATACAGTAATGACTTATTTTCTATATTGTGAGAAATTTTACAACAATTTTGACGGATTTTGAATTTCCGATGTGTCCAATCCGAGTCTACCGTCCGCGTAGTTATGGGCAGTATGGGCTCTGACGATTTTACGTCTTAACGTAGGTGTTGTAAAATTAAAAATTGTGGCAATCTTATGCCACAATTTTTAATTTTACAAATTACTTTTTTAATTTTACTTAAGAACAGTTTAAAAACAGTTTTTAATTCACAAACATGTAAAAATAAATTGTTGTCGATATATTTCATTTAAAAGTGTTAGAAAATATGATGACTGAACATCTAAATAATGTCATTGTCTAAATTATTGTAAACAGTTGTACCATGGAAGGTATTTCAACTTGCAACCCCCGTTTCGATTCGTACAAAATCATTTTTATTTTTTTGTAAGTACTTCTCCAACTCTAAAAGCAGCTTATATTTTAATTAGAAATCTTATGATTATATAATCGGTATATATCTTTATTTTACATAGAACTCAACCTTAACTGATGTTAACGCTTTCATTGCCGAGACTACTTAAGCTTCATCGAGCGCAGAACCAGTGGGCTAGCCAGAACATTGTCGGGCAATAGGCCACCGGGACCGCCACGGGAGGAACTCTCCCCTATCCTGTGAATGGTTGGGGCCGTTTTGTTTTGCCGGTAATTTATCGTGTCCGGTTTTTCCGGCAGGTGCGAGGGACCGGCCATCGGGCACGAATGTCTGGCGATGTCGGACGACGCCCGTGAACTCCAAAGGTCGCAGACTCTCTTTTTGTACGATTAAGATTATTATCTATTTAAAAAAAAAACATTAAACACTTTTTACGGATTTATCGTGTTTACTTTTGTTCCTGCCGTTTCGAACACTTTATGGCGTTAATGGTCACGTCTTGCATTAGTGGTTCGTTTCAGACTAGATTTAATTGTATTAATGATTGGATCCCAAGCACACAACACTCTTTTTTTTTTAATTGAATTAATTTCTTTTGCGAAACCGTGATACTTTCTGGACTGGTAAACAAAACAAAATAAAACTACTAAAGAAATCAAAATCGGTGATACAAATACGGGGAAAAAGGAGACTGAACAGTTTTTCATTCACCCTCACATAATATTTTTTTATGGATATTTGATCTAAACAGAAAAACAATCGCAGTGCAAAAGAACAAGCTGAAAGACAAATTGGATAAAAAAACATTGGCTTTTGTTGAGGTAAATTTAAAATTGCTGCTTGCTTGTTATAGTGTCAAAATTGTATTACAGATTAATCTTATTTTTCTACATGCTATACAGTCTGTGGCTACTTCCGTTTCATTATTGCTTGTCTCAAGTTGTATCCGTTCCGTGTGTTGTGTATCAAATTAATAAAATCTAAAATCCTTAATAATCAGTTTTAATTACAACAGCTTTCTTATGTATTTCAAAACTATATAATTACATTGAAAAAAAAAAAAACACAAAAACTCTTAGCTATTTGAACTTTCAATTTGTAACAAAAACGTTTTCTGTACAGAAAGCCAATTATGAGAATATATAGCGAGAGAATAAACGGATTTTCGAACAGGTCTCGGGCTAAAAACGCAAACGAAGATGGACATCAAACGGATATGTGCTTATTTAATGACGAGTAAAAGCAAATGAACCGCGCACGCAGAGGCGATCGTAAAGCGAGATTAATTGGCGGCATATAAAGAGGCCGGCATCCTATAAATTAGCCAGTAGCGGCTTAGTGGTCGCGGATGCCGATTCGCGATGTGTGGTCACGTGTTCGGATCCCACTGCATCGGTGATTCTTTCGGTTCTCAACTTTATTGTGGTAAGACCACCAGTCGTTTCGCTTTTCGACGTATCACGGCCTCATAGAAAACAAGCAAAAATTAGAAACAAACATTAAGAAGGAATTGACAATGAGTTATTTATTTATACTCTCAGATGGTTTGCACAGTTCACACAATATCTTTGTAAAATATAGCCTATGTGCTATTATGATGTATAAAGTACATTATTATTAAATTTCATTAAAATATATTCAGTAGTTTTTGCGTGAAAGAGTAACAAACATCCATCCATACATACAAACTTTCGCGTTTATAATATTAGTAAGGATAAAAGCTTTTGTTTCGTAAGGTATTAAGGCAATCGGGACCGCCGTTTAGAAAACGAATATTTTTTTTATCCTTCACCCTTAGACATCTACAACACCACACGGGCTGCAGATTCATTGCCAACCTTTTAAAAACTGTGCCACGGTCATCTCACTCACGAGACGAAACGCGAAATATAACTAACATTTCCACTTCACCCCAGCATTCTATGAGGCTGTGTTACTTCCCCGGATGAGCTTGCAATATAAGGATCTGCATCGTATCCCTACCACAGTGATGAATCTTCAACCCAACGGCTGTTGTGAGTCTAATTTTCCACATCGCTACATAGTATCAAACAAAGTCGTCCTGCTGTCTGTCTATCCCTATGTATGCTTAGATCTTTAAAACTACGCAACAGATCTTGATGCGGCTTTTTTCACTAGATAGAGTGATTCAAGAGGAAGGTTTATATGTCTAATACATTGCACCTGTGCTAAGCCGGGGCGGTTCTGTTATAAATGAAGAAAAACATTATTTACATTCATATAGGAGGTTGTAAGGTCGTTAGAATGAATATAGCAATAGTCCGTCTCTGTGTACTCCTCTAGGTTAAAACGGGAGTGTTTGCAGCGAATTGAATCTACAGAGTCCAAAGAATATAAAGCAACTGCAATAGTGAAATAACAAGAAATATCTATTTAATTAGCGTATTGAGGCATAGAAGCCACGCGGTATCTTTGTTGTTTAGCAGAGTTAACTTACAAAGATTCATGATGAAACCAACTCACCGGTAGAACGAGAGGACCGATGAAGTCGCTAGATAAATTGGCACACTGAACTAAGTACCGTACACAACGCGGTATAAGGACTACGACCTGATGTTTAGAACCGAATAGAAGCATGTGTAATCTAGAGGTCAAAGGGACCACAACCCGACCATTAATCGTACACATCTCTTTATATGGCATGTATAATTAATGGCGACTGCAGGCAAACGATGACTTCTACACTAATAGCTTGAATTCGATTTACATCGACAAAAAAATATATGGTAGAAACTACTGGCCGTCGCCAAATTTAATATGTAATAAAAAAATTACAAATCGAATTCTTCAATGAGCAGTAGTAAGGAATTTAAAGTAAATACTAAACCAATATGAGTTTTTACCCAGCTTAATAGGTGAAACATTAAAAACACGCGAAGCAAAATTGTATTATAAACGCGACGGTATCATAGCAAAAAGCCAGCACCGGATTTGATATGTAATAAAAAATTACAACTCGAATTCTCCAATGAGCAGTAGTAAGGAATTTAAAAGAAATACTAAACCATTATCGGCTTTCCACCCAGCTTATTAGTGGTGAAACATTAAAAACACGCGAAGCAAAATTGTATTATAAACGTGACTGTATCATAGCAAAAAATCCAGCACCGGATTTGATATTTAATAGAAAAAATTAAAAATCGAATTCTCCAATGAGCAGTAGTAAGGAATTTAAAAGAAATACTAAACCATTATCGACTTTCCACCCAGCTTATTAGTGGTGATACGTTAAAACGCGCGAAGCAAAATTGTATTATAAACGCGACTGTATCGTAGCAAAAAAGCCAGCACCGGATTTGATATGTAATAGAAAAAATTAAAAATCGAATTCTCCAATGAGCAGTAGTAAGAAATTAAAAGAAATACTAAACCATTATCGGTTTCCCACCTAGCTTATTAGTGGTGATACGTTAAAAACGCGCGAAGCAAAATTGTATTATAAACGCGACTGTATCGAAGCAAAAAAGCCAGCACCGGATTTGATATGTAATAGAAAAAAATTAAAAATCGAATTTTCCAATGAGCAGTGGTAAGGAATTTGAAATAAATACATATCCATTGTCGGCTTTTCACCCAGCTTATTCGCTGAAACATTAAAAACGCGCGAAGCAAAATTGTATTATAAACGCGACTGTGTCATAGCCAAAAGCCAGTACCGGATTCTATATGTAATAAAAAAAAATTACAAATCGAATTCTCCAATGAGCAGTAGTAAGAAATTAAATTGAAATAAATGCTAAACCATTGTCTGCTTTTCACCCAGCTTATTAGTGGTGAAATATTAAAAATGCGCGAAGCAAAATTGTATTATAAACGCGACTGTACGAGTATCATAGCAAAAAGCAAGCACCGGCTGCGGGGTGAGCGAACGCCCGCACACGCCGCGTATCGTCCCGGACAAAAACGCGCTGCGTAGGGGCCGCATTGTGCCCGACTGTACCCGCTTCGTTCCCGCCGCCAGCGCCCGAAGTGCACGCGCGACGTTATGCAAGCCACGTATGACACCAATTAATCGAAGCAAATTCAGCGTATCCCGAGGCGGCCGACGCGACATCGCCGTCGCTGTGGTCGTTTTTCGTCAAATGTTTTAATTAAACGCATTTCGCCAACGGCCGCATGTATGCGCATGCACGCGCGTGCGATGTAAGCTAAGATGTTTCCTCCGAGTTAGTGTTGTGGACGGTCGAACGGAATTTTGAAACGTGAATGCTATTAGTTAACGAGTAACTGTTTCCCGACGTGCCTAATATGTTAATTATCTGTGGTATCGGTTGCATTAATTCAAAGTACTTGCGCTGATTAAGTTTAATTCGATGGATATTTAGAAGCGATAGAAAGAAAAACTAAGAATGAGAATTTAACAAGGATAGTACGTATAGTCGGGAACAAAATAAAAAAAAATACAATAAATATTAATTTCTCTATCCTATCATAAAACGCTTGATACAAGGCAACACTTACTACGGGTTTAATAATTATAAATTATGTATTTGAGAAAACCCGACATTTTTTAACAAAAAAAACCGACTTCAAACCAAAAATTAAAAACATTGTTAATACCCATAACATTTGAGGATTACCCTAGATTTCTCTGAGATGCCATCGTCAGATCAAAATAATAATCGTCAAAATCGGTTCATAAACGACCAAGTTATCCGCGAACACACATAAAAAAAAATATATGCGGTCGAATTGAGAAACCACCGTCTTTTTTGAAGTCGGTTAAATATAATAAAAAATGAATGACTAACAGAAACGTACGGGACAAACAGATAGCCTTACATTTTAGAAATCTCCTTTAGAAACACATTCCCGCTCGCTTTAAAGGGTGTTGGTAGTAAGCTTTGGAAGCGAAGGGTCCCTCCGGCATTAGCCATGCTCCGAAATGAAATAAAGCGTCGGGCAATTATGGGTGCGGTGATTAATGACACGACTATACCGGGATAGGGCTGCTGCCAATAGCAGCTATTCAATTTGAAATTATGAATCGATTTGAATTTTGAATTCACTATCAGACTAAAATACACAAACAGCGTACCCGGGCCGCTTGGTGATTATTTGTAGGTAATAAGTCGAACGTAACGGTTTCCGATATATTTCGTTTGGATTTCGAATTTCTAAACATGTGTTTTCTCATCAGCTTTGGTTCTTTGGGTTAAATAAACTAAACGCTGGGTAAATACGTTTTTTTTTTATTATATTACAGGAAATGTAAATGTTTACGTAAACTTTTAATAAACTAAACGATTATCAATAACAAAGAGTCTATATCGATATTTTATAACAGTTAAGTATTGTTCACACCGAATTAGTTTAACTAGGTAAATATTTCTCAGAAAATATGGAAGACCATATGTATAACCAATTTCTGGAAGTCATTTTATCATAGCGTATTCTCATGTGCCTAAACTCATTAAAAAACGAAATAAAGGAGATTTTCAAACCTCGTTCGTACAAAAGTAACTAACGAAGTCATACACAAAAGCAACCTGTGTGTACGCATTCAAAGCGCCCCTTTCTTATTAAACAAGTTAATAATAAGATTAAAAAATGCGGACATCGACAGCCCCTACTTTAGGGAGCTCCGCCGCAAAACTTACGAAGTGAGCCTTCGAAAAACGTCTCTATTACAACGGCATAAGGCTTTAAAATGCGTCGTGTTTTGTTGGCCGTGAACGCAATAATCCCAGTTGTCGCCGGGCGTCGAATCGCAGACTCCAAGGAATTCCTTCAACAGCTGAGCCCCAACTGATTGATGTTGAAAGTTGCCAAACTTTTACGTTGACGAATGCCTCGTGAATAGGCCCACTAAATAATGCAGCTTAAAGTCTATTGTGAAGTTTAAATCGCATTTATAATAAATGTTTCTCCCGTAGGGAGATACCTTTCCATGTGACAAGTTGTCAATCGAGAAGACGGTTCACCTGATGTTAAGTGATTGCCACCGCACACGCATCTACAGCACATGGAAGGTTTTAGATGTATACGTTTTAATAAGTTTACCTCGCTCGCCGCACGAAACGCGGAAAGTATAACTTGCAATCCATGCCGGTCTTTCTAATGCCGCGTTATTTCCACACACGAGCCTATTTGTATCAGTAGAAGCAGAAGAAAACTCTTCTTTTATAATCATGCACGATTAACCTGTCTCCTCTATTTTTTTTTATGTGTATGAGGTTGCAGAAGTACGCTTTACACCAAACGTGTCGACGCGTATTTTAGGAAGCGGCAAAGTAAATTTGTCTGTATTGTGAGGAGGATGCTCGGACGGCTAACTCATTTAATTGTATCCCGGGGCCGAAGTTGCTAACTGTTGACGTAGATTTGAAAGACCATTCTACTTATTAATTATTACAACGTCTTCTATACTTCCTAATGAAACACTATCCGTTTACTTCTAGTAATAAGACAAATAGATATTAAAATGCAAAAGTCCGATTATGAGCTACACATCATCAATGCTAGCAGTGTATAACATTCGCTTGAATTTTGAAGTTAAAAATAAATCATGACAATGCAAGATATAGAGGGTCATTAATAGCGAAAATAAAACCTCGTTACAGCACAGCATTAGGCGCGAACTGCGGTAAATGTCGTCAGCATTACAAAAAATAATAATCTTAGTAAAATCCGTGTCAACGAGAGGATTCATTCTTCTTGAGGAATGGTCTTTAGACATTTTTAATTTTCTCTGCGCTTAAGATTTAACATTAAAAATTGAACGAAGAATCGAACATCGAATCTTCGGCATGTGGGCCTGAGGCCGCGAATGCCGAAGACGTGGGTTCGATTCCCACAGCGGCGACAATCTTTTCGTACATTTTCTACAAATTTTAATGTTTAGAGTGATCTTTAGTTATAGAGTGTCTGTGTGAATGTAAAAAAATATTGTAACAAGAGGTACGTGGGAATGAGATCACACGAACAACGTAAAATGAACGCCCGATACTGTCAGACGCCTCTGCATAGTGCACCATTCTTTCCGACGACGTCGACGCTCTCGATACGCTGTGAATCGTACTCAACCTGCTGATCAACCGAATTTATGCCCGGTTCCTATATTCAACGAACGGTTAGTTACATAGCTTCGTAGCTTCCATAACGACATGTAGATTAAAGGAACGCTTGTAACTCACTTTCCGTGGGTAATGCAACGGCTCGTAAGGAAAACGCCTCGTTTTGTTGATATAGGAACCGGGCGTACACGCCTTTTATCTACAAGTCGTTATTAAAGTTACGAAGCTATGTAACTAACGGCCGTTCGTTGAGTATAGGAACCGGGCATTAATCGACATGTGCCCCGCCCTAATAACACTAACATAACGCCAGTCGCCACTGGACACTGCTAACCTAATACGCGACTAGGGAAGGGTCAAACACATAGATACCTATAAAACTGGATGTACCAGTGTATTTGCTTAAATCGAATTAACATTCACTATATATAAAGTGTTGTTAATCTTTTCTTTTATGTCTATTAAATTACTTATTAATGATACGGAATTAAAAAGACATACGTTCTTCTCTCCTTTAGTACTTCCTTCGTAGTTATTTGGGTGCGGTATTCTTTAAGCGATCTACGTTAGTTACTGTATCATTATTTCACTTTAAATTCAATTTATATATTATTTTTTCTCTCTATGTGGTAATAATGGTACGGTAGAATTAGTATTAAGAAAGTGATAGTTGTGACATTTCCAAAGTTCATGCCAGTACGACTTTGGAGCGGTTACTAATACTGCTTAAGGGTCAAAAGTTATATGCACATCACGATACGCAGTAGGAAAATCTAGTAAATGGCATCCAGACTACTAGCTCCCTGGCGTAGAAGGAAGAAGATATATAAAGGGTGTCTCAAAATGTTTTTCGTTTTTAGATGTTATGTCTTGATATGTATGTATTTATAATATATGTATGTATATTTATACATATTATGTGTAGGTATATGTTTATATGTTTGTATTGTATATGGTGTGTTACATAAATCGTTATATATAATATCTTCTGGAGTTATTCTGGAGTTATATGATGTGTAATGCATATATTAGTATTATTTAAGTCACAAATTTATTATGCAATTTTATTTATTGCACCTACCACGATTTCTCCTCACGCCCCTGGTTGGCAGAGAATGCCAATAGGCATTAAGTCCGCCCTTTGTAACCCTTTTGAGGTGTTTTCAATAAAGAATAAATAAATAAAAAAAATGTTACATAAGAAACAACAATATCAACTAAAACTAGTTTTATTTATTGTTAAATTAAAGAGCAGTTCTTGAAGTTTATTTATGAAAAACAACCGTTTGCAAATGCCCAGCATTCACTTGTTCACACTCATTTAACCTGGTGACAAAATTTTCAATCACCCGCTGGAGCAACGCTTTCGGAATAGAGTTGATTTCTTCAGTGATTCTTTGCTTCAAAACATTCAGATTTTTTTTAATGTGAAAAGTTGCCAAGCGAGCAGACGGTTGACCTTATGTTAAGTGAATACCACCGCCCATAGACATCTGCTATACCCGAGGGTTGTAGATGCGCTGACAACCTTTTGAAAATTGGACTCCGGCCACCTCACTCACCAGACGAAACGCGAAAGTATTTTACTTCCACTTTACGCCGGTCTTCTTTGAGGTCGTGGTACCTACCCGAACGAGACTGCACATTCGTGCAACAGCCGAGGCTGCTGCGTGGCTCTACGACCGTGAAACCGTCGTTCAGGTTGGGTGGCAATGGATTGTAAACTTTACTTTTTAGGTAGCCCTATAAGGAAAAAACAGCGTTAAATCAGGGTTCCTCGGTGGCCAGTTGATGTCTCCTAGGCGACTTATCACTCTTCCAGGGAATAAATCGTGAAGAGTAGCTAATGAGTCATTTGTAACATGAGAAGTGGCTCCATCTTGCTGGAAAAAGGTGTTACGGTTGTAGCCATACTGGTTTTGCATTTCTGTAGCCAAAAAGTCCGGATCATATGGCAATATCGAACAGAATTAACGGCCTGTGTTCGACCTCGGTCAATCAAATGAGAACCGATAATTCTTTGACTTGATATGGCAGC